AATCTAAAACGGACCTATCTTATCGACGCAAACCAACGAGGGGCTGAAGTAATAGATTTTATGAAACTTCAATCAATTGTGTGTTTGATTTTTCTTTCTCGTCACCGCACGATGGATTGCTACAACTGCACGTTGTTTAACCCCGAATGTAAAAATTACTCTTAATGTAAAAACATTTACATGAAAAGTAACAACCCGCAACCCTTAATGTATTTTCCCCCTTTAGGGTTAATATCGTACATATCGCCCCTTATTGTAAACAAAGTTTGACTGGAAATGCAGTGTACGTTTTGCTATTTTCACATTTGTAATTGTTTTGCTTGGTTTCTTATATTAATTATTTGTGATATATTGTTCCATCAATTTTCCGCGTTTTCTCAGGAACTTTGGAACTTGTGTAAGTGCACTGCACCTTTCATATTCCAACAACGTCTCAACAACGACAACCTGGTCGTTATATACAGGTTGTCTTAAAGTGGTCATTACTGACATGTAATTTAGCCGATTTTGTTAAATCTTGGAACAAAGGTGTATCTAGGGACGCTATACAATATGATTTTATTTATTAGCTTCATTGCTTCCATGGCCACTGAAAGTGGCATCTGTAAAGCTTATTGATCAATACTCAGAGATTTCGTTCAAATTTGGTATTAAGGTACAATGTATCTGATTGGTCGAAATTTAGTTCTTCGATTTCGTTAAAAGATATTTAGATATATTTTATATTTGCACAAATCACATTTTATTACAATAGCAACGGAATGGAGTCCTCTGATTGGTCGAAATTTAGATAGTTAACCCTACTTAAGACCATTTCCCGATACTAATAAGTGTTCTTTATGAAACTAGGTGTGGATGATCAGCACAAGGTCCAGTAATATAATCTCATTCAGAAATCCAAGATGGTCTCATAGACGCCATTTTGTAATTAACAGGTCTCAAACATCTAAATGAGTAAATATCTATTTATGAAGTCATTTTGAAAACCCTCGTGAATATCATTTCTTTAGATTATTAGTTCATTGTACCCCGCAACGAAGTTAGGGGGTATAATGGAATCAGCATGTCCGCATGTCTGTCGGCCTGTCCGTAGAAACTATTCGTTCTACTCTAATTGACTGATTTCAATTAAACTTTGTACACGTGACCACTTCAACATGTAGTTGTGTACATTGCAATTGTTTGTTTTTTTCATTTCGGCGAGTAATTTCTATTTGTCAGGAAAACTTCTAAACTACTACATCGATTTCTTTCAGATGTGTACGTTGGTGAAGCTACGAACACTGTACAACATGCCTTCATTTCCATTACCATTGTGGTACCATGGTAACGGAACAAAGGCCTCTGATTGGTCGAAATTTAGAAATTGGCCGATTTCGTTCAAAATCTTTATATTGACATGTTATGGGACTCCGAACTGAAACACATAGGTTTTGATTTTACCGTGTCAGTGGATAGAAGGCCCCTGATTGCCTCTTTAAATACTCTACCCTATTTCGTATAATCTAAAAAAAAAGGTTGCTGCCATTATGTCGTCCAATTTGATTGCAGAGGGACTTTTGGATACTCATGTGAACATTATCATACGTCTGCGGGAGGTATTTAATTCCCCATAGGACAGTTATAGTTAGTATATTGTTTATGCAAGATGGCCGAAGGGCTTATGTGACCTATTGCCATCCGTCTTTGTACGGCGTGCGTCATCCGTCATCCGAAATCTGTTCACAATCCAACACGATTTATTCATAAAATATGTCGAAAGATTGCATTTATAGCTGACCTGGTACGACGTTCCGCTAAGACCTTATGTCAGCCCCAACCCTAGAAGATCGAATGGTCGGTACCTAACTGACATGAGCAGGTCGTGTGCAGGTCGTGTGCCTAATGTTCTTTTTTCGCTGTTTTCAATCAACAGTGGTTTTACTACAGGATAAGCTAAACTGCTATAGAAAAGGTATAGACTTCAAATCCGAAAAAATGTATAACGTTCCATGGTTATTTTTGACTCGACATGGTACTTGTGAAACCAACGGCGTGTTTTTTTACAACAAAAACATCATAACACTGGAATTCCTGTCGTATGTAATATCATTTGATTCTGGTGCATAGCCTACTTTTATGTGTCATACTGCTTCAGTGGCCCAGTCGTCTAAGGCGCCGCGATTCGCTGTGCAGTGTTGCGTCCCTTGGGCACGCCAGAAACCTATGATTGTGGGTTCGAATCCCGATTCGCCCCGATTATGTTTCTAGGTTTGTCAGCACCATACCGTGCTTGTGGGTGTCACCGAAATGGTAAACGTCTGAGACCTGCATCACTTCGGGCTTTCCTCCCACATTAAGCTGACACGTCGTGATAAAACTGGAATACTATTAAAAGCGGCGTTAAACCCAACTCACTCACTCACTCACACAAAATGTCCATTATTTTATGCCTAAAACTGTAAATGGACCATTCTAACAACCCACCACTATCTACGACTTGGTCTGATCTGCTTGGTCTGAGTCCTCCTTTCCGTTGCTATGGTATTCATATTAGTATAGTTACGTAAATAGGGTTACCTTATAGAGTTTCGAAAGATAGAAACCGGTTAAAAGGGTTAAGGGTCATGAACCCTTTTATAAAACCTGCATATAGCAACAAAGTGGTCGTTGTAGAGAGGGAATATAAAAATGATTGGTCATTTGCACATCAAGACAAAGTAACGATCAAATAAATCTGCGAAGTTTCATATTATTTAATAAGTGAATGAGTGAGTGAGTATGGTTTTACGCCGCTTTTAGCAATATTCCAGCAATATCACGGCGCGCGGGGGACACCAGAAACGGGCTTCACACATTGTACCCATGACGGGACAGGAATAAACCCGGGTCTTCGGCGTGACGAGCGAACGCTTTAACCACTAGGCTTTCCAACCGCCCCTATTATTTCACAATGATATCACGCCGAAGACCCGGGTTCGATTCCCGACATGGGTACAATGTGTGAAGCCCATTTCTGGTGTCCCCCGCCGTGATATCGCTGGAATATTGCTAAAAGCGGCGTAAAACATACTCATTCACTCACTCACTCACAATGATAACCCTAAACGAACTAAAAAATATTAGCTGTCAGTGCAACACTTATTGTAATTTTTTTACATAAAGAGTACTGTATTTTTTCACATTAATAGTTGTAACAAGGGTTAACCCGCAACCCTTAATGTAAAATCTTTTACAATAAGAGTATTTTTTACATTGAGGGTTGTAACAGTACGTTATCAGGTGAGAGTTCTGTCCGTTCTTCAATTCGTTATGCAGAGTCGCGCCCCTTAGTCGGGCAAAGACTCGCTTGTTCGAGTACTATATTTGTCATGATTACGATACGTGGTCTGTCGGTGTGGTAAACGACACATCAGTTGTATCTCATTCACATTAAACACACACTCCTTGGTATTAAAGAGATATATAATATCATTTAACTAGCCTAAAATCTAACTAAAGTCGACGGTGTAAAGTATGAAAGTAAAGACTTCACCATTAAAGGGACACATTGCCATCTGTCTATTGTAAAATTTGAAATAAATATAATTTCATTCGGTCGGCATTGGAAATACGAGTAACAAGGAAAGAAAAAAACGTCTCCTTGAATAAACCTAGCAATACAATATAAAAACGCCTATGTTGTTGTATCAACATTTATTTCCAGCAGATTATAACATGCAAATCCAAGGCCTCGAAATCAAGACTCAGTCAATAAAGGCCTGTAGATCAATGTTTCATTAAAGTTCTGCTGGATTTCGGTGACAATCTGCCCTTTATGCTATACACCTGGGTTTATTGGGTCTAGATGTTGGCCAGTGGCATTTTGAAGTGGGCACGCAATCTCGCTGATATTGGTTTAGATTAAAGGCTTCGACTCCAGTCAACACAAGGTGACTTAGCTCAGCGATACTACCTCGGCTTGTCGTTGCATGATCCTTTAATTAAACCACTTCAGCATTCCGTGCAGTTTATCTTTACCAATATTCCATGATAAATCTTTTTAGTTCGTCACGATCAATGCCACAAATACAACACATGCAAAATAAAGCCGTGTTACATTTATTTCTTAACATACGAACATAATTATATAACACATGATATGTTAGGCCCGACAATCTAACAATACTAAGCTAAACAATCAACGATTGCATTCACGATCCAAATATTTGCTATTTTTCGGGACAGTTAAAACGATTATAGCAGCGTTTTATTCTTGAACTAAATTTGATTTTTTCCCGTATTGAGCACACTATATTGTATATTGTTAGCACAAGAGTCCTTATATCAAGAGGCCTCATCTGATTAATATAATCATATATTTATTGACACTATTTACATGTTTTAAATTATTCTGGCTGATCTGTATCTGTATTTGTGGCAATATAAGTGTGTATATCTATAAAAGACAAATAGTGTTCACGTTTCATATTCCTGCGTCTGTTTGTTGTCAAGCTAAATGTTGAAATCTTCTTACAAGTTAAGCCATACATTCAGTTTTACAAGTGTATATACTATTAACGAGGAATTATATCAATATGTTTTAGCCTTTATATTCCTTTATTAGTTCGTTGTCAAAATATACCATGTGTTGAAATTTTCTTGTGACATATGTATTTTCTTTAATGGAATAAATAAACTTAAATTTATATAAATTGTGTCTATCATAAGGTGCTCAACATATATATTAGCTTATCCTATATTCGTTTGTTGTTAAGCTATCGCCGTGTGCGGGAATCTTCCTAAGACTCCGAGAAAACAAACTTTCCTCATTGCCGATCCCTTTTGACAACTGAATCTATAAAGCTATTTCCCTGAATCAATATCGTAAGTGGCTTACTAGACGCCACAACACAGTCAGGGTCAGACCAGAAGCCGATACAAGCTGATCCTGTAAACAATCCATTCTTAACGTCCCGCATGAAATCGAGTAAAAAACACATTTAAATGTGTCAATTCGATCATTATCAGCAGTAGTCATGGTACAGAAGTCAAGTTTCACATTGCTGTGTTGACAAACTGTCATGGCTGACTGAGCACAGTCAAAGTCACAGTCACAGCACACCGCCTCGTCCTACACCTATAGAGGGCCGATTATTGCTCATTTTCAAAGCATAAACAAAGAGCGTCCCTAGCAACCAGCCGTACCCACGAGTGTCAGCGGGACCACAACGAGCGACCGCGACCGGTAGAACACCTGAGCCAGTTCGACACACAGCTCCCCTCTGTAGTTGACAACGAATGAGAGAGGCTAGGTGATACGGCAATGGCGGCCCCGGCTTAACGTGATCATGACTTCAAGTTAAGTTTGTTCATCATAAGAGCGGAATTGATATAGCAATGGCTTCTGTGCTAGATTCACAATGTGTCGACATACTCCGCGGTCGGCTAGGGGATCCGGGATCCTCTCTTGTACCCAGACGGGGGGTTCGGCTCTATCTCTGTTCAACGGGTTCAGGTGAGTGGCACTGTTATTAGTTGAAACAAATATGTTGCAATTGCTTGAAAATAATAATAATAATTTTTATATATATATATTCGTATAAACGACACTTGAACGAGAGATTTCTAAAAATCATTTTTGAAAAGGGTGATGTAGTGTATTATGTGCGTGCGTGCGTGCGTGTGCGTGTATCTGTGTGTATCTATCTAACCTGTAAGGTATTTCATTTCTTGGTTTCTCGGTCTGTAAATAATCGAGTCTGGACCAGACAACCCAGTGATTGATATCATGAACATCGCTCCACGCAATTGGGATACGATGACATGCATCAACCAAATCAACGAGCCTGACCATCTCCTCTTACGACATAGTCGCTTTTTACGGCAAGCATGGGTTGCTGAAGACCTATTCTACCCCGGATCTTCACGGGTCGCATGTATGTATGGAGGGATGGGATATGAAGTGAGTGAGTGAGGATTGGAATACTCACATCTGTATCTTCTTTCCCCCAAATATAATTCTTCTAGAAGCAGCTTTGCACTGGATAGAAAAATAGAAAAAAAAATAGTGACTGTTTGTGATTACCAAACTGATACCACGGCAATGCTATTAAATATGTATGTGGTTATCGACATTCGATACATTCATTCCAGATTAAAATATACACCAAGCATGAAAACTATTTTATTTATATTCATTCATTAATATTAAATCCATTGCTCACCATGAATTCGGCTTAATGACCATAACAAACATATTACATTGTACACATTTTGGTCGAGTTGTTTCTATTTAACCGTTGTTATTGCCTACACATTGGATGCTACAACGTGCATATATACTCAGCGTCATTACTGAGGGAACACCTAGGTTTGTAGGGTGGCAAACGAACATATGCCAACAAGCGTCAATAGGTCTGTGTATGGTGAAAGTGTGATTAACAGTTGAAGATATGATGCGTATGCCTATGCCCCACTGATTGGATGATTTTATGAAACTTTAAAAAATGGACAACGACCATTAAAAACAATGCAAACTGTAAGATTGAAGGTAAATGAAAGCAACCTGCCCAAAACACACAGCCTGAACGTGAGCATTGGTTTGCGCGTGCACGTGCAATACATGACAAGTAACATTCAATGTGGGTACAAAATGGTTAATTCCAAATGCACTCTTGGAAGTTGCGTTTTTGAATACGTTTATCTCGAATTATCTGCGTGGCCCCTCTATAATGACGATGAGTATACTTAACATCATTCGTTTTCGTCGAATAAGCTTTGAGAGTCGGATTTATCCTTGCTTATCAAGACAGCTTCGTTTAGTCGTCTACATACCAGATCCGCCAGGACATGTGTTTTGTCAAATTACAATGCAGAGTTTCCAGAAGAGTGCATTGAAATAAATGTATAGAACTCTATTTAAAGATCTAATACAAGAACACAACGCTATCTTAGACCGAAGACTATCATAAGCATATGTTAATTGAACTATAAACGCTACCATAGTTGTAGCGCTGAGATCAATTAGTCCCAAGCGCCGGACCCACGAACACAACGCTATCTTAGCTCTAAGACTATCATAAACATATGTTAATTAAACTGTAGAAGTGACAACAGTTGTAGCGCTGAGATCAAATTGTCCCAATCGCCGGACCCATGTGCACAACGCTATCTTAGCTCTAAGACTATTATTAACATATGTTAATTAAACTGTAGAAGTGACAACAGTTGTAGCTAATACCGATTTGTGCCAGGCACAGGACCCACGTGCACAACATTATCTTAGCTCTAAGACTATTATGAACATATGTTAATTACACTATAGAATTTACAACAGTTGTAGCGCTAATACCGCTTTGTGCCAGGCACCGGACCCACGTGCACAACATTATCTTAGCTTTAAGACTATTATTAACATATGTTAATTACACTATAGAATTTACAACAGTTGTAGCGCTAATACCGCTTTGTGCAAGACACCGGACCCACGTGTACACATCGATCTCAGCTCGAGGAGATGCAAAAATCGTAGCGCTAAGATCGCTTTGTTGAAAGTGGGGCCTAGATGGGTCCGTCACACAAATCGATCTCAGCCCTACGGTATGGAAGGTACGTTTAATTTTCGTTCGAGTTATGGAAAGGTTCCCTGGTCCCAATCCTACCTTAACCGAAAACTGGAGAAAATACACCCACGCAGTATTGTGATGCGGCTAGACAATTTGTTAATATTATGAGAAAATGAGGAATTGTCATTTAATGAACAGAGAGGAAAAATGCTCACTATGCCAACCCCGATTATCCGTTGTATCATATATCCATTCGGTTATATACCATGGACCTATTCGCTACCATACCTTCGTGTTCAGCCTGATTCGAATGACAAGACATGGCATGAGTGATAAGAGACTTGGGACACTTTCTATGCTGGCGAATGGGTCCAGGGATATTATTGTAATTGAATGGCGATGTAATACACTGGATAATCGAGGATGGATTCATACTTTTATAACCATGTTACAAAGTCCACTTTTTAACAGTGCTATAAATATATATTAGTAACTGTTCTTTAGTGAATATATATGATTTAGTTTTCATGAGCATCTGATTATAAATATATTATCATAATAATTACTGATTACTTTTTACTTTTTTACATGTGTAGGGATTTCACCCAACACTCAGGACACAGGGTAACCACAGAATGTAGCTGTGTGTGTTTGTGTGTGTGTGAGTGTCTCACTCTCTCTGTGTGTATGCATGTATATATGTATGTTCCACTCTCCTCTCGAACACCCCCCCCCCCCCCCCCCCCCACACACACACACACACACACACCTCGTTTCTCCTGCTAATGCCCCTGAGACCACCTCTAGTAGTGTTAATATTCCATGAGTAGCTGTGTGGGCTGATACACCAAAAGAAACTAGCCATGTGTGTCTAGTCAATAGTTGATGAGTTGCGTTGTTGGAGGAAAGGAACCTACGCCCTTGATTGTTGAGTCTAACTAGGTATATATAAAATCAATCTTGAGAACTAGATTATAATCAACCGTTCACGAACATTTCGTGGTCCTATGCGTGTAAACAACAATTGACTGCCCCCCAAACAAAGGTCATGTGGAGGGGTTTCAACCAACTCGGGATACATGGTAACCTCAGTAGGTTGCTGTCCATCGCGTCTCTCTGTCTCTCTCTCTCCCCCTCTCTCTCACTTCATTCTTTTCTCTTAAATTTGCCTTTCATTCACTCTCAGATCTCTCTCACGGAAATATTTTTCTTTGTGAGTGCCTCTCCCCCCCGCCTCTCTCTTTCACATATCTCTCACTCGTGGCTGCCCCTCCTTCTGAGATCATTCTCTTACATTTTTCTGTCGCTGTCATATCTTTCGCTTTCTAACCCCACCCAACCCCTCCCCTCTTCTCTCGTGCTGTCTAAATCAGAATGGTATCGCAGGCAGTTCAGTGTATATCCCCACCAATATTACAGTACACATCAAGCAACTATTGTCAGTTGCGAGTCTGGAACGATTTACAGCCCACCGTAATCATTCACGTCCCTATAATATATCTATCAACAAGACTTAAACACCTATACCGTTAAATGTCAATAACGTCCGCCCAGCCGGTCTCTATTGACATACATTTCAGCACCACAGCGATACTAGGTGTCTTTATGGCCTATGCATGACATACAATCAGTTGTATATTTCAAGTTAATTTCTCGTATATGTCCCTGCATGTCTACAGGTAACGGCGCGTATTCATTTAAAGCGTGGGTATCATTATACGTCCCAGGCTTTCCTAAAGCTACATAAGCGTGTTGCCAAAACATATTGGTAGGGTCATATACACTCAGTAGTTTCTCGCCTAGAGGACAGCGCATTGTGTAGATACAAAGACCCGTTGGGGAGATTGTCACTGGGAGAAACGTCCCATTATATGACTATTGCTATCACGAACGTAAGTAATCGATTGCTTGATATTGATTTGTGTATGTAGTCAGGATATCTTTTAAATAGACATTTTAATCGTGCTCCCTGCGTGTTTCATTTGAGACTGGCACACAAATTTCAAAAGCTTTCGTCATCGAGATATTCAATTCCAATAAAGCACATAGCAAAAAAGCGATTTTAAGTCACGTATTGAAGTCCAATTGATCAAATTGAGATTGAAGAGAGTTAGAGCATGCATGTGAATATCATCTTGAAAGATTACATATGAATTTATTACCCCCAGTGCGGGAACAACGGGCAATGTTTCTGGTAATGTTCACAGTGAATTAGAACTGCTACTGCAAGCTAATTGTTCCTGTAATTGTGAGTTAGTGAGTTGGGTTTAACGCCGCTTTTAACAGTATTCCAGTTATATCACGGCGTGTCAGCTTAAGTGAAGTTATGCAGGTCTCAGACGTTTACCACTTCGGTGAAACCCACGAACACAGGTTTGTGCTGACAAACCTAGAAACATAATCGGGGCGAACCGGGATTCGAACCCACAATCATAGGTTTCTGGCGTGCCCAAGGGACGCAACTCCGCACAGCGAATCGCGGCGCCTTAGACGACTGGGCCTTCCATGCCCCCTGTAATTTTGTGTGTGTGTGTGTGTGTGTGTGCGTGCGCGTGCGTGCGTGCGTGCGTGCGCGCGCGCGTGTGTGTATGTGTGTGTGTCTGGTTGTACTCTTCAGGACTTATGCCGGGTTCATAGTGGAGTTGACAGAGCATCTGCTCGGAGAACGGAAGCTGGATCCAAAGACAAATAAGAAATAGCACTTGTTGGTATCCTACCTGTCGCTCAGCATTACGTGAATAAAATAAGCACTGGTGGGCTTAGATTTAGTCTCTCTTACAGAATCCTGAGCATATATTTAATTAAACAATCACACCCATTATCCATTTAGTTTCTCAATCTCAGCCTATTTTCGTCCCATTCTCATCGCTCAAGCTTCGTTAAGATTCCAGGATTCCTATATATATTTATTTTTATATTACCTTATAAATACCTCTATTTCAGTGACTATGCTAGCCTAGGCTCGAAATAAGTATAACGTGTTTGAGTAGGATATCCATGTTTCACCGCGGCATGTTATCTCAGTCGACTAGTACAAACAGCCACACAAACACACAAGTGAAATTATCTTAAACACAACGTTAAACTCTACATGTACCCCACCCAGTGGTCTAGTGGTAGAGCGACCGCCCGGAGATCGGAAGTTCGGGTGTTCGATCCCCGGCCGCGTCATACCAAAAGCACGTTAAAAGATGGTACTTGTTGTTACCCTACCTGGCGTTCGGCACTAAGGGGCTAAAACAAAGACTGGTCGGCTCGGATTCAGTATACTTAGTGGGGCATTCGTGTTAAACTGCGGCATGGTGTCTCTGTTGGCTAACACTATAAAATCGGCATTTGTCTGGACAAGTACATGCAACCACACGCACACACACGTGCATGCACGTCGCTATATAAGTGCAATGCTCTTGGACGCGACCCATTTAACCTCACCTCATTTCGTGTAACAATATTAATCAGATATAGCTATTTAATTAAATCCGGTAAAACCGGTATTGCTAATTACAAAGTCATAAATATAAACAGTTTAGTGCTGGGATTATGGTAATCTAGTCAGTAATTTACCTCATAGCTATATCGATTACATATGAAAGCCACGTATTGTAGGCTTATGATTGATTGACATTGAATAAAGCCATCTAACAACTGATTGAGAAAAAAGGCTAATTACTTTATTGAATTATCAGACCTGATAAGAATTAGCTGATCATCTATCAAGTACATGAAACGTCAACGCCAGAGAACAGCTAGTCTCGAGTTCCCCCGAAACAAATTCCAATGGGCGTAAAAGGCAAGAAGGCGGTGAAAACTTTAGAACACTAGAAATCAGTGATGATGCGAGTTGTTCGCGAAATATGCACGAACCTGTTGTACCTCTATGAATATGCATGCCTACATGCATACATGCATTTTATGAACACAAACTATTGAGACAATAATTCTTACCTTTATGTACCAGGTATACCCGAAGAGCAAATTATCAATAGGAGCCCAGAATGTGTGTAACGTAGCACACAAGGTATTTCAGAACGTTTGACTTCAATTTTTCAGTTTGATGTCTCAAGTCTGTTGTACACCACGATTTTGGTATCCGTGTTTTAAATAGGATAATGTTTGCGATAGAGTCCGGTGTTCATTTTTATTTGGGAAGTTTAAAGAACGCACTTCAATATTTTCTGTTACTCAATGGAAATATCAAGGTACATATACATGTTCAGTGTCAACTTAAGCAATCATGAAGATCTCGATTCTTCACTGATTGTAACGACGTGGCTTCTTCTTGACCCTCCATCAGGTTAATACTCACGGGTAAAGTAGCCCTGAAACGTCGTTACAAGTGAGTGAGTGAGTATGGTTTTACGCCGCTTTTAGCAATATTCCAGCAATTTCACGGCGAGGGACACCAGAAATGGGCTTCACACATTGTACCCATGTCGGGAATCGAACCCGGGTCTTCGGCGTGACGAGCGAACGCTTTAACCACTAGGCTACCCGACCGCCCCACGTCGTTACAAACAGTAAAGAAGTTTTTATCCCTAAATGTCCCATGTCTTCACGTTCAAACACTTCACCGGTCATCGTTATGAGCAAATACTCGATCGATCATGTGTCTGTTTGAAGGTTTTTTTATCGGAACAATTTATCGATCTTAGCACACACCAATTATCCCTTATTTGGAAAATTTACAAATGGATTCATATCTAAACATTATCGAAAGCAATATTTCGACGGATGTTTGTAAGCAACAGAGGATCAAGTAATGATTGAACAGGCTCATATGCTGTTTGACTTGTCTTACAAAATTGCTCATGGATTCAACGCCACTGTTTGACTTCTCAATGGTGCAAAGCATTTGATTTATTGTTTTATCTATGTTTTGTTTAACATGCTCTTAAGACGTTGACTCACACTGAACGCGTTTCAAGTGACAGCTTAACGCTCGACAACTGGATCGAACATTCCTGGTAAATTTTTCTAATCTGTGTTGGTTGCCCTGGCGTTGTAGGGCGATTTCAGGTATTGCGCTGGGTAAATGAAGTATGCCATACACATATTGATTACTTTAATGTGGATGAATGAGTTGGTGAAATAGTATGGTTTTAAGCCGCTTTTAGCAATATACTAGCAATATCACGGCGGGGGACACCAGGAATGGGATTTAACCAATGGGCTACCCCACCGCCACTAAAGTAGATGAAATAGAAGACTAGATATATATAGATAATTCTCCTGTACATATACAGCGAAGATTGTTTGGCACAATATTATGCTTGTTTAAGCTTGTAATAGCTGTTTTCAGGATTTGTATCACCGCTTTGGTTGTTTACTAACCGTACAATATTAACAGTCAGTATCGACTGATCTCAATCTCTCTTTGCACTGCAGAAGCTTTAAGAAGTGATGACAAGTAATTGATTATTCAAGCAATTTAATAGTTGCACGATTGGTATCTTCGCTCATGACAGGGTAAACATGCAACATGTAGGTATTTGGTTTTAATATTTAGAAATTGTCTTGTTTTATCATCACTTCCGAAGTTGTACCTTCTCATCACTTTTGAAGTTGCACTTTTTGATATACCCGCCATGACGACAACTATTTGTCTTCTAATTTACGCCATATAAACGTACTCCATAATGTTTTATATCCACGTTTTTACATTAACTACGATTGTGAGTTTTAATGGAGGAAAATCGAAATAATTATAAAATAAAATTCAACCTTCCTACCCGTTCTTTAACAAAAAAGTGATGAGAAAAAAAGAATATTGTTCTGGCCTTAAGGGCACAGAATATAACTGGTGGTATCTATTCCAGATTCCCAAACCGAGCGCAATGCATTTGTGGAAACAGTCTATCCAAAGCTTCGACAGTATTGCAGGAACCAATATGGCGTGGAATTCCAGGTAAGTGAACAACCAGGGTTCGCCGCGTGTGGTATCCCCACTTCAGTATTTCTGATATTCACATCGAGCAAATCAGGACCACTTGAAAATAAGTCCCGTGTTGAGGCAGATTGACACGGGCAGTTCATGTTGTATCTTCGAGCCAGCGGTCTTTGTTTTTAGTGTGCTGCACTGGGGGTACTCCCAGATTAAACCGTTACGTATCGAGGCCATGTTAACTGCGAAACGTTTTATTTGTTATTGTAATGTCTGATAGGCTTTGCATAGAAGTTGACGGATGACAAAATAGACACAATTTATGAATAATAACGTTTTTATATACATTATCATAGCGGCATTTTAGTATATACCCTTACACCCTTGTCAAGCAAGTCTAGGCTCCTCTTGACAACGGTATAAGAATCTATGGCTAAGCGCCGCTGCAATGGTACATGCACATTAAAGAAGTTGTTATCTATAAATAGTACCTACTTTATTCCTTATTATTAAGTTTACGGATTCGCCGACTCTAAGAATAAGGAAGGTTGAAAACATAAAAAAAGATTTTTAATTACTCCCTGATTATCACACCTTTGAACAAAATAATCAGAAATTGCAGACAAGTCTGAAATCTGCAGACAAGTAATACATGTTCTACTAACTGTCAATGTTCGCTCGTTGTATTCATAGCGTCAGAGGTACTCCAAGCAGCATGTGTTTTGTTCCCCAGGTATAATTTTTGCACATTCCCTTCACACTTCACATACCAGCCAAATGCAAATATAAAATATAAAATGCTTTTTATCATCCTACCGAAACTATTTGTTTACTTGTTTGAATGGTTTAGTTATATTTCTAATTTGACCAAAAATGAATGGTTTTAGAACAACATTTCGTTAACTAACTAATAGTTACACAATCTTTCTCTTCTGTTATCAGGTGGTTGACCTGGAGTGGGGACTTCGGCCTGACATAGATAACGTGACTCCTGTATCAGCAGAATTCCGACAAGGGGAGATAACTCGATGTCAGAAGCTTTCTGTTGGGCCGAGTTTCCTGGTATGTCCATAAAATATCTGTTGAATATTTTGTATATATATTATGACGATTTCACGCGTCTCACATCATTATTGGGACCGTAATAGAGTAATAATGTCACTTTAGATTATGACGTCGACGCCACATCCTTTCAGTATAGACCTCATGGCTATTAATCAATATTCCTAGTTCATAACTCTTTTTTACAACGCGATTTATAGATGGATACCTAATGCATAAATATACCTTTATATCCAAAAATTCGTTTTCAGGCATTTGTTGGACAAAAGTATGGCGCCTCTCCATTACATGCAACCATTCCGGCTTCCGAATATGAAACTATCCGAATGGCTCTTCACAATCACCGGAGTCGTGAGACCCGCGGCGCCCCCTTGCTTGACGATTGGTATATCAGGGACGATAATCACATTCCACCCGTCTACGTCCTGAAACCCGCTTCCGAGGTCATAGACGATATCAGTAGTGTGAGTTGTTGCTTTGTACATGGGTTGTGGTGGGACAGTTAGTAAGGCGTTAGGTTGCAATGCCGGGTTTCCGTGTTCGAGTACCACTGGTACAGTGGGCTGTGCTTCAGCTTGTGCGCCGGTTTTATACCGGTGCTAATCATTCATAAGGCGCAGTATATATTGCCCATAATTGGTATCCTCGCCCGCTAAAATTGGCGTAGAATCCAATTCAGTCATTCATTGTATACACTCACCTAGCTAAATATACACCAGTAACGGTTAGAGCACAGCTGAAGCCCTGGTTGAGTTATTGTCGTCGGATGTAATACAATTATATCTCGTTATGTCCTCTAACACATACACTTCGTCGCTAAGCCGGATGTACCTAGAAACGTACGCTATGGCCGTGGGTTCCTGGCCTTCAGTGGAAAATAAAACGTGGATTGATCACTTTTTTTGTGTGAATAATTTCTACATCACTACCATATGCACCTTTCTCAGTATCATTAAAAGGCAATATTTAAATGGCCTATTTCAGTCTTAAAATTATGTGCCTGATCATTAATTGTTTCCCATACAGGAGGATGAGAACAAGCGATCGGCCGCCGAGTGTTTGAAGAAGGAGACAGAGGCCAAGATAAGACGTCTATTACAGAAGGGAGCAGAATTCTGTTATAGCGAAGGCTCAATAGACAGTGACACTAAAATAAAGTACTTCATATCAGGTGAGCCTATCTAAAACAGATACGATAACCATTTATATAATATTTATAACACATGTAATTAAACGTATGGGGAACACTTGCATTATGGAACAAGTGCAGGGTTCCATTTAGCGTTAATTGGGAGCTGAAAAGCCCCCCGGCTCTGATGCTCTTTTCTGAATGTTATACTTGATGGTTTTCTTTGTAATGATGAGACCCTGTTTACCCTATTGATTCCTATACATCATAACATTTTGTTCACAGATAAAGAGAGTGGGTTTTGAATCACTTCAATTTGACTTTTAAATCCAATTCACTGTTATTTCGGAAATTAATATCTTATGTATATTGCTCATTGTTTCTGTGTTTTTATGGGGCTCTCTTGTCAATTAAACTGATCTTGAGTAGTATTATATATGAAATCTAAATAAATAGATTATTTATTCTATGTATTCAATGTCTTCCAGAACAAGACATTGAGATGACCATGGGCATCTGCGACAGCGGTAATCCCCAACAGCACTGTCTCCTTGTCCTAAGGGACATCATTGACCTCAAGAATTACATTGGAGATGAGCGCACGCCATGTTTTACCGACATCATCTGCAACGACAAGACTGACAAGCTGGAACTGGATGCGGAGGCTGACCTGAAACTACAGCAAGTGAAGAAGCGAGCAAAGAATCTAGTATCCCAAAACAATGCAATTTGTTACGATGTTTTGTGGCGGTATGACGATGTCATCAACTCCAAGCTACACAGGAAATATCTCGATGGGCTGTGTAACCAGGTTCATGATCGGTTGGTCCAGCTTATTGACGAGACTGTTCCTAGAAGAAGAATGGACTTTCCAGAGCTATGTCTTGAACCATTGCTCCATCTAGAGCGATGCAAGCAGCTCGGAGCTCACTTCTATGGTAGACAGGACACGCTCTCGCAAGTCCAGGCATACCTTGAAGAGGAATCCTCATTGCCTCTGATCATATATGGGGAATCAGGAAGTGGCAAAACTAAACTTCTGTCAAGGATTGCGCAAGAGGTAGGCAAGCGCTTAATTATGTTCTTCAAATTCGCTTGAATCTCGAACAAAGAGTAACCTTAAAATTCAGCTCCAGCATTTTGACTTTGATCCCTTACATGGAATGGTTATTAATGATAATTAATTTTTGAAGTTATTGATAATACTTATTCCCCCAAGTCAACATACAATAAAACCCAGTTAATTTGCGATTATCGTTATCCATAGTTAAATATATATATATATATATATATATATATATATATATATATATATATATATATATATATACATATTTATAGTCAGCACCATACCCGTGCTCGTGCTTTTCACCGAAGTGGTAAACGTCAGAGACCTGCATCACTTCGGGCTTTTCCTCCCACATTAAGCTGACACGCCGTGATATAACTTGAATAATGTTAAAAGCGGCGTTAAACCCAACTCACTCACTCACTCACTATACATATTTATATAGCTATCAATATTCATCGATTCCAGCAATGCAGTACAATGTCAAACAAGTTTGCCTTTGCAAGTGCCAATAGTTGTATCACTAATAATACATATTCTTTTGTAGATTTCCAATATATATGGAGACGGTGGAACCTTGATCATCCGGTATGTGGGCTTCACCCAGATGAGCTCGGATGTTCGACAAATACTTTCAAGCATCTGTTCTCAGTTGTGTGCCATCATAAACAGAGACCAGGCAAGCATACCGTCAGACGTAAAGGACCTCCCTGTCTATTTCCAGGAACTTCTTAACTCTGTTCCAAATTATCTCTCAGTTGTGATACTCTTGGATGCACTGGAGAAAATTCTACCTGACAATAATGCAAACCTTATGACATGGTTTCCTGCATCGTTGCCTGTAAATGTCAAGATGATAATAACATGCCAACCAAGTTCTAACAAAATCCTTGAGACGTTGAGAAGTGATATTGTTCAGGATGACAGTGCATATATGCAACTTGATAACCTCAGTGGTGACGAGTGTGAAGGACTAATGAAAGAAATCCTAGCAGCGTCTGGAAGGCAAATCACACAAGAACAATACGAAACCTACAAGGAGTCGTTTACAAAATGTTCTCTGCCTATGTATATTCATCTATTGGCTGAAGAAGGGAAGACCCTTCACAGCTTCCTTGGGACAGACTCTATTTCCAAGACTTCAGGAATCTTGGATGCTATCAATATGTTTTTCAGCAAACTTGAAGCACGCCATTGTAAAGTTTTTGTTTCCAGGTGCATGGCTTTTATGGCTGCTTCTGAGACAGGTCTTAGTGACTGTGAAATGGAGGATCTCCTTTCTTTGGATGAGGATGCTCTGAACAGCATCTACACTGGCTACCACCCTGCAATACGGCGGATACCTCCTCAGAAGTGGCTGGAACTGAAACGCAATCTGGAACAGTTCATGACATACAGAAATACAGATGATGCAACGATTTACAGTTGGAATCATGATCTGTTCCTTCAGGTGTGCCAAGCAAGATATTTATGTGAAGAATCTGTCAAAAGGAAAACGCATTCAGTCCTTGCAGATTACTACCTAGGAACCTGGACTGATACACCGAAACCAGTGACAAAAGCTGAAACCAAAAGTGACGTTATCTTGCTTCCATGCGGTGACACATCTGACAGGAGAGTTCCAGCACAACCTTTGACATTCACAAGCAATGGGTCAGGTGTGAAATTCAACAAAAGAAAGTATGACAAGGTTCCTCGCCATCTTGATTTATCAGGAAGAGCTGATGAGTTCAAAACTCTAGTTCTCTTCAACTATGAATGGTTATACAACAAGATTAAAGCCCTGTCATTGCAGCATATAATGGCAGACTTTTCTCTTAGTCCTGCATCAGAAGCCTCTCTTGTCGAAGGAGCATTGCGTGTATCTGAACCAACCCTACAAAGAGACATCAACAATCTCCCTGCAGAAATCACTGGTCGCCTTCTGCCCTATTACACAACACATGCAAATGTTCGAGAGCTTGTCAACCAGTGTGATACAACCGGTCTGGACCACTGTGCCCTCATACCCAATTTTCCATACCTGCAAGTTCCCGGTAGCTCTCTTCAATTTACCATGGAATGCCCGGTGCCAAGTGAGTATTTTGGCATAACAAACAAAGACAGATTCCTTTTGACAAAAGAGAGGGACAGTTCATATATCTATATGTTTGATCTTTTGAATGGAGGATTGAAAGACACAGTCTTTACTTCAAATGGAGACTTTTTGGTCACACCAAATGGAAAATATTTCGTCATCGTCGATCATGTCACAGAAAAGGCAATCAAGTTTCATGAAGCAGATACTGGATCATTCCTTGGACAAATAATTATTCTGAATCATATTCAGATGAAACCCACTGAAACCTACAAGAAAGGACCGATGTGTATCACTGATGACAGACTCTGTGCTATAGTGACAACAGATACCAGCTTTCTGTGTATAGCAGATGTGTCATCTTGCAAATTGTTGCAAATCGTAGCTTTGGATGGTAAATCTACAATATGCGAAATCTCCCCAGATGGAAAATATGTCTTTTGCAGTTCAAATGAATACCTCCTGTCTTACGATCTTGACTCGCTTGATCTTCTGTGTACTCTATCGGTCGGCTATAAACCCAGTTCCTTCACTTTTAGCCATGATGGATACAGAGCTTTTTTGTCCAATGATGTAGAAGCTAAACTGTACACACTGCACATCAGTTTCGGTGTGGTGGACATGAGCTACAAAGGAATCCTTGATGAAATTCTGCAGGATGACACAATTCTTGATCTAAAGGTATCCCCAGATGATGAGCTTGTCCTTGTTCGTGGGAACAGGATTCTACTCGTTCACGATAGAGCTACTGAGAGTGTATGTGCAAAACTTGAGAGACCCCGTGACATCCCAGAAGAGTTCAGGCTACCAAAGAGTCACTACGTTGAACTGAACTTCACCAAAGCTGAATTCTCTAGTGATGGCAAATATGTCATTGGTACCATATTCCGGAATGTGTACATTTGGCAGATTGAAACACAAAGTGTTGTCACCAGCCTTCAGGCCCCTATCGGAATTATCACATCCCTTCTGGTTACCAAGCACAGAAACCAGGTAATCACACAGCTCCAAGGACACAAGACCATACAGGTGTGGAACATAGAGGAAGCTGTTAACAAGGTGGATATGCTAGACAGAGTTACTGGCCCCATCCAACAAGTTCTTTTGACGGAGGATGGTTCTGTAGCAATTGTTCAGTGTGAGGAGAGTGATGCCATAGGCATGATAGACATGAAGACTGGAACAATGCTTGATCTCCTTACGCATGACTCAGATGTCAAGGATATGGCCATCACACCAGCTGGGGATTATCTCTTACTCACAGTTGTCCCCCAAATGAGTGATACCTCAACGCGGATCTGGGACATGACTGACAGAAGGGTTATAAAGGAGTTTGGCAATGCTCCTGGATACTGCGTTTGTCTAAATGAGAAAAACATCATCATCTTCGTTGGACAGAAAGACATTACCTTCCGCGCCCCTTACTTCATTACAGTAATGCAGTTCGCAGCAGGAGCATTTGCAGAAGAGGAGCATGCGCAAGCATTGAAATTTGTTCTCAAGAAGCCCTTTGTAACAAGAAATGATCGTTACCTGGTTGCTCTGACTGCTAAGGACTATCTTGAAAACTCAGGTGTGTATGACACACCAACCATATGTATCTTTGACTTGAACAAGGATATGAGACTTGCATGCTACACGCTTGAGAGCCTAGGACTGGTGGATAATGAGGACAATATCATAGACCTCAGACCATGTCCTTGCATGGAGAACTTGATTGCGGTCATTTACTCAACCAGCACTTCCCCTGATGGCTGTCACAACGGTATAGAGAATGGGTATCAGAATAACCCATCTCATTTTGGCTTCATCCTCTTTGAAGTCGGAAATGGATGGGTTATCAGAAAGATCGACCCCTTTCTAGACTCAACAGCTGATATCCAAGATGTTCTGTTCGCAAAAGACTTCAATTTCTGCTTGGACAAAGAATCACGTATATTTGACCTCTGGAGTGGCGAATACACTGACCAGATTGCAAATCCACCCTCAGTGCCTAAGGTCCTTGTATTAGATGGTTCTGTCGTAGTGTACTTTAAAGGATCAATGATATACGCAATACGTATTTGTGACAGTGAAATCATTGCCCAGTGTGATGTCCATGCACCAGTTTGCTCCTTGACACTATGCAAGGATGACAGAACTCTGATTGTTGGTTGTACAGATGGAGCCCTTGTCTCGTATGTCCTCATAGACCCAGCCGTAGAAAACCCTCAGCTTGTTCTGGCTAGAATAAGCAGCAGACAGCTGCCCCAGTCTCCAACACCTGCTGTGGACGGAAAGACATCACGATCTTGGGATAAAATCGACCAGTTAAGCTTTCGCAGTTACTCCCGTCCACCTTCTGTGGTTAGCTTGGGCCCAAGGGAAAAGGAACTCCTGAAGAGGGTTCCACATCTGCCGAGGGAACGACCCAAGTCTGACACACAGATGTATTCAAAGTCTGCTGTGTGTTCAGTAATGTGATGACATTAATGGAGAGTGACTTAACATTTGACGGCAACATACTTGAAAGCTATGCAAGAGTCACTGAATTCTGCATGTGACCTGAATCTCCCGCAGCGATATTGTTTGAATATTGCTAAAGGTGGCCTAAAACCATACTCGCATGAGTAAACTTTCTGTACAATTTGTAATAAGTTGATTCACAAGCCCCCACCTGTTTTCGCAGGTTTCACTGAAGAGGTAAACGTCTAAGACAAACATCAGCTTGGGCTTTTCTCCCACACTGTTGACAAGCCGTGGTCACAGTGACGTGAAACCGAACCCATAGCGCAATCTTTAAAGCACATTTTGGCTATCTATCGAAAGTTGTGGAAGCCATTAGAATTATGTTTGGATAAACTATTGATATACTGTATAAGTTACTTCTCTGGATAACAAAAAATAAATATATCAATTCCTGGTCCAAGTGACCCATGTAGGGAAAAAAGTGTTAAACAAGCCTTAAACAGTAAATCAGAAAGAAAGAAATACGTAGTGTAGATAATTTTATTGGATTGGGAAACACAACCATCTTTGATAAATATCACAAATTCACAAACAAATATTAAACAAATCATGTTTCATAACAATGTAGGCATGTGTACATAACACTCACAGATACCACGACACACACTATGCAATATATATGCAATGGTAAATCGCAATACATGTATTTCATTGTTATTTCACTGAATTGCCACTTTAGTGTCCTTATAATCAGTAGAACAAAGTTAATTTGAAAGTTTATTACATATTATCTCCAGGTAGCATTAGATGAATGCACCTGGGTCCACTTGTACAAAACAATCTTAGCGCTAAGCTAATTTAAACTTCTAATTTTTAACATAAACCTTCAACAGTTGTAGCACTGAAATCGGTTCAATTGGACCCAGAACACGTTGTCAGTATGTTGATTTTAGGAGCGCTTTATTGTAATGATGTTATAACCCGTTTCTTACAATAACATGATACAGCAAGAAATAATATATGTATGCAATCATCATTTATACAGATAGATACTACTCACGATACGATGGAAGCATATCAATCCAAGTGAAGGCGAAAGGCGCAACCAGTCTAAAATGAAGGATATCTGATGTATTCTTATGTATTTATAAAGCAAACTATAAATATGTACATACCTTTTGTGGCAGCTGTAAATACATGTCAAATCTATGTCATTGAAATCTTCGTCAGTCAAACTGAAGTTGAGCGCGTTGAGTTGAGTATATCATTCGGCTCAATCCCTCAAGTCATCTCGGCCAGATCTATAACTCGGAAGAATCCATGTTTGTACTTGTTTCGTGCATGTGCCTATCTCTTGACACAATTTACCCCTAATTTTAATCTTCAGACGTTTTGCTCAGAATCAAATGATATGCCCAATTTATATAAACCTTTCAATAAGCTGTTTGTATTTTGGGAAATAGCTTTACTGAGATTACAGTGAAATCATGTATCACTCCAGTAATATCTGAGGAATTATGTCGGCAGCAGAACACGAGCGCGCCTACACCAACATGGGTTGCCTCCTATTTTATTCCGAAAACTCCTGTCTTGATTTTAATGACGCTTGAGCTGATGAGCTGACATTTGTGATACCGAGGACGATGTCTCATGTTGTGATACGGGTTAAGAGAACTGATATAGAAATGTGATGTTTGTAAGTTTTTTGGTGTGATTTGTTATAGTCAAAACATTCTGTGATACATCGATAGTGCTTTCAGTCATAGGTTCCATGACGCTACACCGTTCTCTTTTATGCCTTGTTGTTTATGATTGATACCTTTTAAAAAATAAATTTTATCTAGAACATTTGGATTCTCGTTGTTACTAAGAACAACCGCTATTTGAAATCGGATGTAATGTCTTCTTTGATTCCCATTTAGAAGTAAGCGTGATAAACAAGGACAACTTCTTCGTTACTGTATATTACTGTGTATGGAATGATACTGATATTACCAATTTAATTGCGTGGAAACAAACTTTTTTCTAGCACAACTGAGTTACAAAATACGCGGACTGTGCGCATATTGACGTTTAAAGGAACATATGTATAAAAAACTCACATAAATCATTTGGTGACTTGTCAACATGAACAACCATTAAATAAACAGTTTTAGGCCCAACAGTACTTCAACCATTATTCACAAACAATGAGTGTGGCAAATGTGCAAAGTGCAAAATTCAAGTGTTTATTAAGAAATAGATGTCATATGTTTTGGGATTTGCTAACATTATTGGGTATTCAATATCTGCAAGTTTCATTTGGGACCAGTGGAATCTGATGGAGAGAAAAATGGTTGAAGTTTCACCATCACATACTCAGTAAAACCAGCAATCTGAAATGATATTCCAGTATAAAATATTGAAGTGAAAATACCATTTGATTTGGGGGAACTACTTCATTTTTGGTTATTTGCTGGTTTATATAACCAATGTTTTCAACCTATCTTTGGGCAATATGAAGCGAGGGGCAGGTTAAACCGGGATTCCGAGTTTCGATTAGTTTATTCTTTATATAACATAGGATAGTTATGAAATAGAATATGAAGGTAAACAAGAATAGATAGGGCGACAAAAACCTTTCCATTTTCTTAGGAAATCTCCTTTATACGATTCTGACTATATCAAACACATGCAAATGTAATTCATGTTATCTCAACAAACACAGTTTCAACTCCAAATAGGGAATTACATAGAACGGGAAGTCAACTTACTGTTCAGATGACTTATTATCATCAACTGGTGGTTGATGTTCTTTCGTATTGTTTTCAACAATGTAGCAACGTGACGTCATATTGCTTCAAGTAACATATCAGCACTGACATTCACTAAAATGCACATGTTCAAATAAGGGAAGGTTAGGTTACATTTTATATCTTTCTACAATGATGGATAATGTTTTCCAGTTTACGAACGGTGACGTATTACTTACTGCAACAGTGAATGATAGCGCATGAAAATTAGTTATACTTCAGTGCATTGTAAATGTTTAGCATATATGCAAAATGTTAACAGTATAACATACCTAAGTATCCAAATACACAGTTTGCATACTTAACATGGATATATATGTTCAGACACATACCAAATATATTTATGAGATTCATGATTAACTGCTCAGAAAAGCATTCTGAACACTGCATAAAATGTAACTGTCAGAGATGCCGATATAAAAGCAACGAAAAATATTTTATCCAGATATTCTATTTTAGGTTTCAAAGTTTTCTTTGATGCCCTTTTTTCTTGAGCGAGATTATTCATATTTGTAGTAAAATTGTGGTTGATCTCGTCAGAACAGTTAATATCCTGACAATCGATACAATGTAGATCATTTTGATCACCAGCCTTCAATCGACGGGTCGATATCCTCTGAAATATTTCAACCTCCTTGCCTTCCTCCTCATTCAGTCTCCATTTGAAATGGTAGTTCAATGTTATAATATTGCAAATAATGGAAAGCGCCCCTAAGGACAGGTGTAGAACAACGAACATCGCGAAGACGGGAATATTATCAGAATTATTGGGTGTAACGTCACCAATGTAGCTCAGGAATACGGTCAGAGAAAGCATTGTTGTCACAGAGATAGATACCTTCTCGCCAGATTCAACTGGAACCACGAACACAAAAGCATTAAGCAACGACAACAGAATCGTCGGAATGAGAATTTTCAAAACGTAGAAGACACTATGGCGTTTGAGAATGAATCTGAATGTCACACCGTTCTGATGGTTGTTGCTGAAGTTATAGAAGGCATCCTCATAGTCCAGACTCTGCAGCTCCCATTCACTGTTTTCCTTGTAGTGCCGCAGTATCACACCCTTGCTGTAGGGGACGAGGCGGACCTGATCCGCGTAGTAAACCCATGAAGATATGTTCATGTAGCAGATCTGCGAGTCAAAAGGGAAGGTCCGGACATCTACTTCACAAATAGTCTGGTAGACATTTGCAGGAGACCATTCAATGTAACCAGATGAAAAGACCCTCAGAAAGTCATCACTCATGCCCACGACACCCAAACTATTGACGGCGTTGCGGACTACTATGTCGGGCTTCCATACCTGAAAGAAGGAGGACTAGTTTCCGTATATTGACGGCTTGAAACCTTTGTTAATTGTCTTCTCTTTATCACCTACTGTCCAAAAACTGTCCGGTTTTGGTACTTGGTATGCCTTGGGAATGTCGACTAATTGCTGACGATCTGTACGAGGTTTATTGTACATGTAATAGAGCATAAACTATTAATGGACGTTATCCTTTACATATGCCTCCCCCCGAGTAGGCTGGCGTTGTTAAAAGGTTGCTTATAGTGAACGTGTTTTGAGTGAGTATGGTTTTACGCCGCTTTTAGCAATATTTCAGCAATATCACGGATAGGGACACCAGAAATGGGCTTCACACATTGTACCAATGTCGGGAATCAAACCCGGGTCATCGGCGCGAGGAGAGAACGCTTTAACCACAAGGCTACCCGACCACCCCGAAAGTGTTTTGAGGTTACAATAGCCATATCATATTCCCTGAATATGAACATTAACTTCTGGTATCATCTTCGTGTATCCAAACAAGAACAAACAGGTACCGCAAGCCTTTATACCGGTTAGTATTAATCTTTTGAATCCAATTCAACCCCCGCTACGAGTACATGTGGTGTATGTATGTTAAGACACAAGCGGAATATCTTTAAGACTCATCTTTATATTCATGTATTTTGCTGATGAGAATGCAACAATGAACACTATCCATTGGGATCATAAAGCTCTATCCTTTCTCATACTTCTTTCGTTAAGACCTTGTAACTAAATTCACTTGCTTCGAACGTTATATTTCAATCGTTCCCAAGAAGTTCGAGTTGACGAGATTTGGCTAAAGGAATACAATTGTGTCTTACATACACTCTAGCAACCCAAATAGAAAAAGCTAAGGATGTTCATATAGTATCATATGCTGGTATTTCTAACGCCATGGGGATTATGAGGAAGAATTGCTCTGAAGTAACCCATATGTGTCGTTGGAGGCAACTTAGATGGATCGGGTGACTTGGCTGAATGCGTTCACTAGCACATGACGGCGTGGGGCATAACTCCTTAGAGCACTGATGGTAGTTCAAGACTCATTAACAACCCAGCCCAGTATATACTACTCCAAAGAAGTTAAAGACCACCCGATGCTTTCGTATTACTATAACCGCCTTCGTGGTCTAGTGGATAGAGCCTCTTCCTGGTGGGCAGAAGGTCTTGGGTTTGATCCCCAGCCGCGTCATGCCTAAATACGTTAAAAGATTGTACCTGTTGTTAACTTGCCTGACGCTTTGCATTAAGGTGCAAAAACAAGGACTGGTCGGCTCGGAATCAGTATACTGTGTCTGAGTGGGGTATTCATGCGGCATGGTATCTCAGTGGCCTAGCACACAATAAAACCGACATTAGTCCGGACTAGTACAAGCACACGCACGCACGTACATCACACACACGCCGCTATAATCTTATAGGCGACGATAAACCTAATTCCACTCAACTCATCTTATATTATTATAGTTAATCTATCATAAAGGAGGTAGTCTTCAACATGTTTTGTGTTACAGAGCTTGAAAATTGCTGATAGCGACAAAAGAAAACATGCACGCACCTTCTCATGAAGCACCATAATGGACTCTATGCCTCCATACTCTGTAGAATTCCAGATGTACCGATCATCATTCCACCACAAATCCAGCCAGCCGCTGGTTGTCAGAATCTGTTGACGTTCATCCAGTCCAATAATAAACAGAAGATTGAACCACATATTGACGTCAATCTGCTGTCCTGCCACAGGGTCGGCTTTGGCAAGCACGGATCTTCTCTCGATCTCAAGTGCAAGGCTAAGCTGTTTTTTCAAAGTTTGGCCCGAGAAGACCTTCGCCAGGAGCAGTAAGACGAAGGAAAGGTGTAGGGGAATTAAGGGCGTCATGCTTTTTCACAAAGTATCTATACAATTGCCTTGTCCTAATAGAACTTAGTCTAGTTTATGTGATCTGTCCTCAACTGAAATGGAATATGCGTATGTAACAGGACGAAGGTAGCTGATCAGTTCGAGTACAAAATACTTTAAAAGAGATCAGAAGCAACAAGCAAGTCTATTAACCGTTCGTCATCGATAGAAGGAAGAGGAAAATGCAATATTTGTACTCATGATATTGATAAAAAATGTGACATATATTGACAAACTAACTAAATAGATATGATTAATAATATTCAAAATAATTTACCACTATCATGGCAAATGCTTCCTCAAGTAAATGTTATTTGTTTAGTGACACGTTTTCGGGGATATAACATCTCAATGATTTTCTTAAAACATATGAACGTCGATTGCGATCTTACCGAAGTCCCAGTGCTTTCTTGTGTAGGGAATATACTGTCTGTATCACAGTACGTAGTGTTCAACCACACGTAATAAACATCTGGCTCTACGTGCCATCTCCATACACTGACTGCAAAGCACCAAACCTTTTCATTGATTCCAGTACACTGAGGCTCGCTGTCGTTGTTTGTCTCGTATGTGATCTTGGATTATGCATGTCTTCGTTTGGGTACCCTGGTCGTCTCATTCAGGACATCATAGCATCGCGTATTTGTTTTGTCTCAGCACCCCGATATAGTAATACCCTCACCGATACACACATGCGTCTTGACAGATACTTTGCACTGAAGTGACTATCTATTACAATAGAAAGGACAGTCGAACACAAATACCTGAACAAATACTAGGTGATTTTCCTTCATGACTCTATTCAAATATTGCAGGGAATGTGTAAATATTCTTTCCGTCACAAACTACCTGATTAATTTTGTTTGTTATGCGATCTGTCATGTGTTGAGTGTGTGATACAGCTTGTGGAGACACACTAATCAATACCTCGGAGGTCAATGCTTCTGTGGATGTAGTTATGTTTCCTTTGGATAGTTTTGTTTAGAGAAACTATAATTCCATTGATTGAAATCATTAGGAATATCCTGCAAATACGTCTTTCGTCTCTCGCCTTGAACAGTTTCGTCCATCCATTTATTCCTGGTCTGTCAGAACGATTTTATGATAACTTCTTTGAAATTAACACTTATTTCTGCCCATGATTTCAAAAGCCGAAAAAATCAGATTAGAATGAGCAAAAACAAATTGGTGAGGGTCATGTGATAACCACGTGCACACCTTACCTTGACCTTTTCTAGAAACCAACCAGAAGAAACCTCTGAAGGCGCACAGCCAAAATAGACAGACAATATGCGCTTACTACCTTTGTCCCACGACTGTATGGCACGTGGTACAACGGCTGACCAGGACCGCTTCAAATGGCTGCTTCATTTGAGGCGAAGGTGAACAAAAGTAAGATCCGCCCATGGCCCTCTAAATCGACAGATGTGAAGCCGAGTGAATACATGTGGGACGATTTGGGTTCGCCTCGGACGTCGGCCTCATCCTGAACAACATACACCGCAACAGCTTTCACATGCACAGCAGGCACAGGGGTCTTCCCAACATTCCTCAACATGTTACCCCTCTTTGGGCAGGAGGTGCAAGGCAGTGCTTCACGCAAATTGTTGACCCACGAGATACTTAGTTCTGATGGCCCTGACCTCTGTCATTTCTAATATCCTTATGTAGTTCAGTTTGCAATAGATCCTCATTCATCAAGTGTTCAAATGTGTAATAATTTTGTTTAATAAGAGTTAATACATTCCTTAAGGATCACAACACAAGCTTCATACAATCTTGCTTCTCTCCAAAAAAAAAATTCAGGGTTTTCATAACTTTTCGGGGGCTTTTAGATTTTTATCAAATTAGATATTTACAAAATAAAAATAAAAGTTGAATGATGCTTTGTGAACTGTGACCCTTTGTGTACGACTCTGTTGCCTCTGTAGTTCTAGTTTCTCCGCGCCCACTGTATCTCAGTGTGCTGTCTCTTAGTGATTGTCGTCTCTCTAAAATATCACCTTTCGCTTACTGCTTCAGCAACAAAACGCCATGTGCATCATGACCATCAAATGCCAGTATTCACAGATTCCAAAGGTATTTCAATTTAATCATTATCGTGGAAATTTCAAGAACTAAATGTAAGTTTCAACGTCAATAAACATTTGACTCTGCCATTTTCTAATACACTGCTTTATTCTGTGGCATGATTCACCAAACAGACAATTTTAAAAGTGAGGCGATGTGAAATGGGGTTTAACGTCGCAACCAAGATTACTGCACTTATGCACCCAGGTGCATGCACGTGTGTGTGTATGAGTGTGTGACTGCTTGTATAAGTCCGGACTAAAGGCGACTTTATAGTGCTAGCCCACTGAGACAGACACATTCCTCAATACACAATACACAATACCTCAGTTTAACATAAATACTCCACTCAGACGCAGTATACTGACTTCGAGTCTGTACTTGTTAAGGCCCTTAATGTCTAGCGCCAGGCAGGATAACAACAAGTACCATCTTTTAACGTCTTTTGGTATGACGCTGCCGGGGATCGAACCCCCGACCTTCCGCTCTCCGGGCGGACGCTCTACCAATAGACCACGGAGGCGGTCAAATTTTAAAGAGAAACACGTTACATATGTTTACACTGTTGCGTTTGTAAGTACCAGTAGTATAGAATAAGAAGCATGTTCAAGCTGAAACCATACAAAAAATGCAGACTTGCTTTCATGTACAAAACACAGCTTGTCACATTCTTAATGCGGTAAATACGTTAGCAACATGCACTCAACACAACAACACGTTGGTAACTCTCTAACCGTTCGGGCTATAAACGGAGATATTACGATATTACAATGTATTAAAGACAGAGGGTGTCCAACACCTCCCATGAATCCCTTATGTCCCTAATCCCTAGTTTTTAAAGCGTTAGCTCGTCACGCCGAAGACCCGGGTTCGATTCCCGACATGGGTACAATGTGTGAAGCCCATTTCTGGTGTTCCCCGCCGTGATATTGCTGGAATATTGCTAAAAGCGACGTAAAACAATACTCACTCACCTAATTCTCCCTGAATTTAATTGGCTCACCCCTAAATCCCCAATACTACTTAACAAAAATCGCTAACGGTATTTCTCAGTGTGAGGTACAGAAGAGCCTATTGTTCTTCAAAGTTCTTAACTCTACTTCGGTACTGAGCAAATAGTACACATACGTGTATTCATTTCGTAATTTTGAAAACATGTGACAAATTTAGAAATAAAGCTAAATACTTATTCAACCTCAAACCTTATAACTATCATATAACCGTACACTTCCACATACAGTCATACAAAAGTGTAGATTCGTCCTGATTATGTTTCAAGATTTGTCAGGATTTGGTTTCACCAAAATGAGAGACGTCTAAGACCTGCATCACTTCGGGCTTTCCCGATTACATAATGTAATACTGTAATACTGTAAAAATACAAAGCGATGTTGAAGCAAAATCTCTTGCTCATTCATGCAAATGGTAACATGAGGAGAGATCCTCTGGGTTTAACGCGGAAATGTATAACTGTGTAACGCAATATAAAAAGGTAAAACACCCTCAAACCTCACTGGCACACGATCCAACTCGCTGTGGAATTATACTATTGACAAAACACTTGACGTTTTGATTGAATTTCAGTGGTCGTGTATAAATACTGCACTGTGGTCTTTGCGTTTCTGGTTAGCTATAAGAACCGTGTAGTGAATCCTTTGAATACACATAGATTATTATACGAGCATGTGTGTCGTGCTGGTGTTACGAAACGTGTGTTTACGTGGGTAAATTTACTCTCCAGCTGTGTCATTTGTCATAATATTTCTTCTGATTCGACCCCTACGGATTTGCTGTAAATGCAGTCGTCAAAAAGGTGGTATATTGCTTCTCGAAAAACTGTTTGGTACAATATTTCTACGTAGCTATACATGTTCATCTTTGAAGTATTTTGTACTCAAACGAAGAGACGGTGACATAATTTTAAACACACAACGTCAACGGCAGAGAATAATACATTTCGACTATCTGGCGAAAAAGATTCCATTGGCGTAAAAAAAGGCAAATTAGTTAACGTAGAAACTAACCAAGCAACTGCTAAAGCCAATGTATTATGCATTTTTCCGCCATCCCAAAGACATGTTCACAAAAAAGGATCAACTGATTTCGATGATTTGATGCGCATCCTTCAACAACCATCGAGACTACACTAAATACGAACAGCACTTTACTTATTGTCATTGAAAGAAATCAAACGACTTCATCTTTTGGTAATGGATGGGCCTACAAATAGTAAGATCGCACATTGTCGACAAGAGAGGACATTGGAGAGTCCAACAAATGTATCACTAAAGCACTGTCTCCAAGATTAATCTCAATTCTTAATACATTCAAGGAATGATCTATCGAGCAAGAGTCGTAGAAAGAGCATGCTCGCTTGTACCTCAAAGGTTGCGAAATGTAGACATCAAGAAATGCTCGACATATAGCATTAAAGGAAAGGTGACTTTTGAAAGTTGAAGCCATCCCGCTTGTGGATAGTTCTGTTGTCACTGTGAATCTTTATGCACACATCTAAATATGAAACTGGTGAGGGAGTTTCACTTGGTCTGGTCTCGTTAAGTTTTAGTTCAGGTGAGTAAATCAGCGGAAGGGAATTGCTACTTGACAATTATTGAATGATATCAGATTATTGATATACCTGTAGAGTTCGTCACATCTTGGTCAAATTTCGGTGTTTAGATTATGCCAATCCATGCAGAATTCCGGTTCATATGATTTAAGAAACAGATCAGCAAGAATCGGAGTATAATCGGTGCCCATGAGGTGCTTACTTCTTGCATAAAATGCCCCATCCCAAAATGTCACACTGATCATGGAAGTAGTACAACGTTTAACACATTGGTTTCTCTGCAAACTTCAGATGCCATTTGCTTTCACTGTGTTCACAAATTGTCCCGGACCTTTGAGGA